CAGGAAATTACAGCTCAGCGATTCTTAATCCGCTCCTGCAATTTGCTGCACAATGGGCTGGAAAGGACAGTTCTCCCCTTTTACAGCTCCCAGCTCTTCCATATGCAGCAGTCAGGAAGAGTAGCTGCTCAGCAATCACACCATTTCGTGGAGCAGGAGGTGGTGGGTGAACAGAGTATTGGCCTTTAGCGTGACAGACCTAGTTAGGTCAGCTTTGCAGGCAGGGAAGAAGAGCTGCAGCCATCCGCTGCCTTTGCTGCTATTTCTGCCTTTACATTTCATTTTAATTTAGGGTGCTGCTACAGGAAGATTTTAAAGACTTTTCCAGATGGAAAGCAAAAGTGAACAGACAATTGAAATGGCCTCTGCTTCCCCCCACCCCAAAGTGGTTGCTGTCCAGCTGTCCATACCTTTTTTCCATTGTCATCCATCTCAGATGCTTTTCGCTTCTCCCCTCGTTTCTCCTCTGATTTTTGAGGGGATCCAATGACTGCTTTGCTTTCTAAAAACAAAAACTTGTCTCATTTGCGCACTCTGTCCAGACACTGCTTGTGTATTAAAGTCAGTGAAGAGAGTAAAAGGTAACAGGCTTTTCCCCCCTTTCTGGAAAACCCATCAATTAGAAATGTAACTAGTACGACACATTTTTCTACTGCAAATGCCGTGGGCGGTCTTCCTGCCCTCATCTCCAGGATGCTGCTGTTCAGCTTCCCTCCTTGCTGTCACCACACTGCCTTTTTGCTCAGAAATTTGCTTCAAGTTATTCCCCAGTGAAAAAGCGCTGGTGAAGCAAACTCATTTCACAGCTTTGCAATTTACTACCTGGAAATCCCCTCCATCCAGGTGCCCTATTATATGCATGAATTTCATCCAAATAAAATTAAATACTGGTTCATGGCCAAAAATGTCTAACCAAAGGGCATGTGATGTGCAGGAAGAGGAGCAGCAGGTTTGCCCTTCAGACCAGTCTTATACAGTCTGCTAAGGACATCTATCTAATAAGATTAAAAGAGACTGCAGTCCCAGAGAAATCTCTCCAAAGTAGTTTTGGTACTAACTATAACTGAGACTCTGCTAGATTCAAGATATCTGTTCTAGGCAGCATATAATCTCAGAGATTGTCTCTTTTATTGTCTAAATGAGTTGCCTAAGCACCAACCTGAACAACGTCATCAGTGCTGTTTCCACCTTGTCTCAATCCCAGCACACCTCAAGAGCTGTGGCTGCTCAATGCATGCTGTGAACCACACAGGCCAAATCAAGGTGCTAAAGAGCTTTGCCCATTAACCCTGACATGGACACGAAAGCTGCCATGGGGTCTTCAAGCATCTGATGGACGGCAAAGATCCAGAGCCGGCCTGGCCCAAAGGCAGAGAACACACCCTGAGGCTGCTCGCCCTGGAAAGCACCATCTTACCTTCTGGCTTCTGGGCTTTTGCAGGTGACTTGCTTGGGGGAGTTTTCATAGTGCTGTGTGGTGTGGAAGACCTGGAGTTTCCCTCATTCTCTCCACTGCTGCCAGCCGTGGACTCATCTTCCTCCCCAGCAACAACACTGAAATCAGCCTTCTCTTTGGAGAGCTGGTACAGCTCCTGTCCCGCCAGAAACAAAGCACTGCCTTTAGCCACAGTGAAACCTCCGATACTAGAGTATCATGTAATGCATGTGCTCCTCTTGTTTCTCCCCCCACCCCCCACAGGTTTTTTTCTGATTTTTTTTTCT